TAGACAAAGCCAAGCCTTTAAGCATTTTATTCTTAAAAGATTTAGCAGATAACATTGACTTAAATGACCTTAGGTAAACTTAGGCAGCTGATAACAACAAGGACATGCCTGCCTCAGCTAAACTCAAATTAGCATTAATGCTTAACATTTTTTACTAGATTCTCTGGAAGTTCCAGAATGCCCAATCCTCACAAGCGCTTGTTTTTAAATAAAATATTTTTCATCTATACACCTAGACACACAAACATACAAACTGAGATACAACGACTACAGTCAGCAACACTTTTTTCATAAAAACTTATACACAAATAGACAAACCAATACAAAGACTTGAGTCAGATATCCAATTGCCCTCTCTCTTCTCAGCTTTTTGTCTGTGGCTTCTGGAACTAGAGGGAGGGAGGGGTGTGTTCTGGTGGGGGAAGAGGGTGGTGAAGGTGGAAGGAGAGGGGGAGGGGGTGGTGCAGCCACCGGAAGAGGAGAGCAGGACAATGGCATGGTTGAGAATGTAGGACTTTAAGATGGAGGCAACACATGTGAAGACAAAGGACTTAAACATGGTGGTGGAGAGAGGGGGAGGGGATTGCGAGCTGAGGGAGGTGGGCGACTGAGGTTTTCTGGCACATCTGAAAAGGAAGGACTGAGCAGAGTAAGAGGCTGACAATCTCTAACTGGAGATCGGGCCAGGAGAACCTGAGTTATAGAACACTTAACATGAAGGTCTTGATGGGAGTGCAAAGTCTAAAAAAGCCTGCACATATGGGATTTCATTCTACTTTCCACTCAGTGGCAATAATTAGTTAAGTCGGTGAGGAGGCTAAAATCAAAAGTTCCCTCAGGGGGCCAGCAAGATTGGTTGTCCAAGGGATACTGAGGCCTGGCCTTAGAGCAAAGGAAGACTAACTTCCGTTTGCAAACTTCCCGGGACAAATATAGAGTAGCCAAATTAGAAATGAGACACTGCAGTGGGGTCTGGCCTCTGCTTTCGAGGACTGGTTCCCCATGTCTGCACCCACTTCCCCAAAAAAATCCCGCTGAAAGGAGCACCCAGTGTCCCAAGCACACCAAGTCAGGGGAGACGGCCTGGGAGCCTGGGTGAGGGACATCTCCCCCACCGCAGGGCCAGGGGCAAGTATCCCAGATATTCACAACGGATGGGCTGAATACCCAAGACCTGGACGTAGCTACGATTTCGGAAGGACCAGGTGAAATGGAGTTAGGAAGGGAAGCAGACTGGGGGAAACTGAGGGACTCACCAGAAAATAGTCCATGCAGCAGAGAGCAGGCTGAGGTCCCTGGTCAGGGAAGGAGGGGGCAGGGCCACCGATGGCCGGTTGGGGCCCTGCGCTCATACTCCTTCCCGCCTTTCAGCACCATATGTAAGATAAATTCTAGCCGAAATAAGCAGGCAAAGAGAGGCAACAAAGGGCCAAGTAATTTATTTAAATACCCCCCGGTGAGGTTCTGTGGCCTTCTTGTCACAGGCCAGAGAAGTCACACCTGGTTAGGGAGGTGGGGGGCTTATAAGAGATTAGGAGGGGAAGGAGTGGGCAAGCTATCCTAGGGGGTGTGGAGAAGTATGATTGGCTAAAGGTGACATAATAGACAACTAGAAATTTTTTTCCTTCCAAGAGTGAGGAGGCTGACATCCGGGTCTTAGTTGGCACATCAGGAAGTAATTCAGGGAGAGCTGTCCCCTCTCCATATACGGCACGGACTTTGGGGTCTGGTCTGTTCTCCTCCTATGGCATCTCTCTGTTCTGTTTGCATGTCCTTGTTTTTCCTTTCTCCAGCCTAACATATGCCTCAGTGAAGACCTTGTCAGCCTTATGTATAAACCAAGACTTGTAATAATAGGTGTTCTTTGTTGCAACATTTTTGTCATCTATCTTTATCTACTTCCATTGTTCTCTGATTTTTCTTTTACAGAAAATATTTGTTAAAATTTACTGGTGTATTTTTCTGTCTTATAGAACAAATGTACATTTAAAGGCTGGAGCTACATAAAGGGCTTGTCTCCTAATTTAGTGTTGATTACTCCCAAATATGTTTAATCTCCCGATTGTTTATACCTTTGCAGTGCATAACAACATAGCTACATGAAACTTTAGCATTTCCAAGTACTAATACATGTGTTGTATTATTTGGTCCTTACAACAGGGCTAAAAAGGAAATGAGTAGGGTATTACTCTTAAATTTACAGAGGAGGGTACAGAAGCTAAGAGGCCCTGTGACTAAACCCCTGGTCACAGAGCCGCTAAATGCAGGAGCTGGAATAGAAACCACACCTTCCAAGTCTCTCAGGCCAGGGTGCTTTCTGCCTGCAACACAGCCTCGTACAGAATGAGATGGACCAGGCGGTCTGGGAATGAGACCTTGTCACTACTGCCCAGATGTGCCCTGCTCATTCCTCTTACTCTGCCTGCCTAGACAGGGTGCGACTACGACCTCTGCCCAACAAAGAGAGAGAGTCTCCACACTTTTGATGAAATCTCTCTCTCTCTCTCTCTCTCTCTCTCTCTCTCTCTCTCTCTCTCTCTCTCTTTCTCTTTCTCTGTCATTGACTAGCCCTCTGGCTCTCCTTTTGGGCATGAAACTAACACCTTCTTACTCTCAAAGACTAGGTTCAGGCATCACTTCCTCCAGGAAGCCTTCTTAACACCCCTCTGAGGACTGGATTATATGCTATGAAATTCTTCTCAGCCAGAGCACTTACCTCTTTGGCTTATAATGATGTGCCTGTGTCAGCTGCATTGAGAAAAAAGACAGCCATCTCTCCCTATCCCAAGGCACACTTTTCCCTCCCCACGCTTTGCTCACCCAGGCCTCCCTGCCATCCCTGCACCAGCCGAGAGGGCCTGTTCCCTCCCTCCTGGACTTGGTCTGGCAGCTGCCTGGCCTGGAGATCTCTTCCCTGTCTGGTGTGGCTCACGCCTCCCCTCCTCTGGGTCATTGCTCATACAGCACCTCTCACAGCTGCCCTCCCAATTAAAATTCCTAACCCCGAACTGTCCCTGGTCCTCTTCCCCATAAAACTTAGCATCTGACATAGATGTTTTACTTATCTATTTTGTTCATTACTCTGTCTCTCCCATGGCAAGATGTGAATTCTCACTGATGATGAATGGATTAAGCCAAATGTTTTGAACAAAGACCTACAGGTTATCCTGGCTATCTTCATCAGCTGCTGATAGCCATTTTGTCTATAAAACAGAAAACAGCACATGCACACAAGTGTTAGATACAGTATTTTTCACACAGCTTGTCCTCCATAAAGCTACTGCCTTCACTCACTAATGTAAGCCACAATATTTCTTCTCAGAGGCTTTTGAGATCATATAATCAGGCCAGATTAATGATGCTTTTATTGCCCCCTAAACTGGTGGTCAACCCTTTGTGAAATCAATTCCTTAGCACTTAAGAGAAACTTTAAAAATGACTTCAACTTGTAGATCTGAGAGAAATAAGATTGTAGCTTTTAAAAATCTCTATTCTTTATTGCCCACCAGTGATATTATCTTAATTTTATGATATACTATGTATGACATGATATAGATCATCAATATGTTATTATATATTAAATAATTTATTAATAAATTATTTATTCATAAATATTCATTTGAGCACCTGTGTCCTTAGGGAGCTTCCAATCTGAGGGGAAGACAAATCAGTAAGAAATACTGTAAGGCCAACAGCTGTCCTAGGAAACCTTGGGAAATTCCTTCAGGGATGTAGTGTTGTTACATCAGATACGACATGGCCCATGGAGACTAATTCTGCTTGCTCAGCACTGTGCCTCTGTGGACAGCAGAGGGTGTCCTGGGTATTATTAGGGTTGCAATGTTAAGCTTAACACCGATACTTTAAGTCATAAACACAGTATTGGCCCAGGCCTCTCAGGCTTGAGAAAGGTCATTCATTTGCTCATTCAGCCATTATTTCAACAAATGGCTACTGATGACCTATAGCTGGGAACAGAGGGCTGATTCCCCCCACCCACCCTCCTGGTGGTCTCAGGCCAGCCTCGAGGCGCCCCAGCTGCAGCTGCACGCAGCTCAGCAGCCCTTACTCAGCAGCCTGCTGCCCCACTGCCGTGCCTCTGAGTGGGCACAACTCGTCTTTGCCCTGCAGGCACAGGGCAGGCTGCTGCCCCCCTAGCTTCTGACTTTGGGCTGTAAGGTTGGGGGAGCTGCCATATTCTAAAGGATGAAAAATAAATTATGCCTCTTATTTCTGTCATTTTCCATTTCCAGGCTTAGAAGAGAAGGGAGAAGAATTTGCTAGCATGCTTACAGAGCTTCTCTTTGAATTACATGTTGCAGCCACACCTGACAAACTCAATAAGGTCAGCACTTGTCTGGGTCTTAGTTTTTTTTTTTTTTTTTAAAAAGGTCTCAGTTGTGAAATTCCAGAGATTCATCTGAAATGGAAAAACCCCAAACTCCAAATGGCAAGGGGCGGGGGTGGGGGAGCGGGCAGGGGGAAAGGAAGTGTGACGCCAGTAATTAAAGTTCGAGGAGGCAACATAATGGAATGTGATGGTAGAGAACATGCTAGACTGTGTCATGAGACCTGCATCTTAGTTGCAACTTCTCCAGTAATTACCTTATGACCTTGAACTAGTCACTTCTCCTCAGAATAGAATTTTAGAGCAGAGCAGTGTTTATCTTCAGCATAACGGAGGGAAGAGGGATACAGAATCACCATATTTCATCTCCCCTCCCCTGCTGCAGTGACACGCTAGAATTGGAGAGAAGCACCTCAGCCAGGTCAGCCCCCCGTTCCCTCCCACCTGGAATGCTGGCACTGTGTGGTGTCTGAGAACGTTCGGGCTCTATCGGGCTGGGTTCCTCTAATAGTACCGCAGTACGTTTTGCAAGTTCATACGAGGTCTTGCTGCAGAGTTTCCTAACAAGGGCACTGGTTATTAATTACTTAAAGCTGTGTTATTTTTCCCATTCTTTGTCTCTTTTTCCCCCCTTTTTTTTAACAAGCAGTAGTTGACATAGACCCTCAGTTATCAAGGTGAGAGAGGAAAGGGCAGAGTGAGGCAGTGAGGTGGAAAGATGAGTGATCTCTTTATCTCTGATAGAGGTCAGTGATTCTGGCAGGCCAGTGACTTCAGTAGAGTGGGAAATTGCCTCATTCATCTCTGCGCAGCACCTGTCTCCTCTCAGCATGTGTGTGGTGCCTCCAGGGGCCCACTGGTTTATTTACATCGTCAGGTAAAGCTGTGCACCTAAAAGAAGACGCCAGGCAGAGTTTTGCTGGGGTCTTGCCCCTCTTGCCATTCAGCACTCTCACACGTAAGCTGTAAGTTTAGAAGTACATTTAACATAAACTCAGATAAAACTTTCCCCTAAGCAAACAGCTTAAACTATCATGATAAAAGCAGGGTGGGTCTGCTCTTTCTAAATTCAGGAACTAACAGATAGAGAAGGTGGTTTCTGCTTGTTCAATTTAGCCATAACTTTTTAGGCCACAGGTTGCTCAAACTGCGCTCATGTGAGATTAAACTAGTCACAGAGCAGCGCCAGGTGCTTCCAACGGCTCTTCTCCCCTCCGCCGTGAGGTCCGAGGACCTGGTGTGACCATCCTTCATCTTCCAAGCCTTATATGTTATTAGGCTCATGAAACACGAAGGCTACATGAGATACAGCAAATGAGGAAATCTGCGTCAGCAATGACTCTGACTAAATAGCTTACGCATAGAAAAAGTAGTGTTACTCTTTTATAGTTGGTCATGAAAAGTGAAAAATATACTATCAATCTTCCAAGATGATGGTCATTTTTACTCTTATCTCTACATCTTTTTTTTTCAGAATGCTTTTTCAGAAGTCCCCCAGCCCTGCAGTGTTCCCCCCATACTTTCTGTCTATTCTGTCCCCTTTTCCTACCTTCTATTTTCCAGAAAGCAACACAAGGTGTTTGAAGGATGTTAAAAAATTGCACATGAATTTATAAACATACAGAAAACCACCCTCAAAGATTTAGGGCAGCATGAGTCTAGACTTGGGATTGGAACTTTCTAGTCTCCATATTTGTACAATAAATGCCTTTTGCTTTGGTTGGGGGCCTTCGCAGGCCATGAAAAAAGCTCATGACTGGGTGGAAGAAGATCAAACTGTGGTGTCAGTAGATGTGACCGAAGAGTCAGAGGAGAAAACTAAAAAGGAAGAAGAGGAAGAGAAACCCGATAACCCTGAAGAAGTCACAAAGGAAAAAAGGAGAACTAAGGCGGTTGAGGTGAATTTATTTAGGTTGTCCACCTAAAGAGCAGTAATACTGTGTTGATTTTATTAGCAGCCTAATTTAAAGTGAGGAGAAGCCATTTCATTTTCATTTGTCCTCTGTTTCACCTTACAGAAATATGAGCATTAATGTAATAAACACTAAAATTTCTCTGTGCCAAAATTTGTGACTTAGCATAGATATTGTAGCTTTTCTCCATAGCTTTGCAATTATAATTTAAAGGAAAAAAGATCTTTAAGAGCACAATTGATTTATCTTTAGGTTAAAATTCCATCTTATATGCAAATTTGTAACTATAAAATGGCTTTATGCCCCATAACTAAGGAGGTAATTGAAGCTTTTTCCAAAAAAAATTTCATTGCTGCAGTTTTTATTCTGCAGTTTAACAAGTTTATATGTGCGCCATTTATTACATGCCTATGTTCAAAAGTGTGTTTGCAGTAACTTCATTTTACATCAAATTTTAATTTTAGACAAAGTAACTTTCTAAATTAAACCACTAGAAAGAAAAATGTCCATTGAGGTTCATTCATTCAGCTGCCATCCCACACCCATTCCTGAGCACCTACCTGCTCTGTACCCAGCATTGCTCTGAGGGACACAGCCTGAGTAAGGCTTGCCTGGGGTCCCTGGTAGTGCTTCCATTTTATGGCAGCATTTCCACCCACAAAAGCCTTAGATACACCCATTAACCATTGGGTAAACTTGTCAAGTCACATTTGTTTTTGTTTTGATTTTCAAGAACTATGTAATTTTTTTTTAATGTCATAGCGTTTTTTAAAAAGCATCTGCTCAGTGAAAATTTTCTTACATTCACTTACGTATTTCAGGAAGTATACATGCTATCCATTGAAAGTCTGGCAGAAGTAACAGCACGCTGTATCGAGCAGCTTCATAAAGTAGCAGAATTAATTCTTCATGGACAAGAAGAAGAAAAACCAGCTCAGGACCAAGCAAAAGTTCTGATAAAGTAAATATTACATTTAATTCTTATTTTTTCCAATTATATATATATTTGCTGTTCAAATATAGACACACAGAAACACACCTCCTAAGCTACTAATGATTTAGACTATGGGAACTAAATCTCTTTTTGTATGGACATCTTGAGAAATAAGGACTCTCTTAAGAATTGAACGATGTTAGCAAGAATAATAATAATTAACTAGACATCCTAGGAATTATTTATGAAGAGATTTAAGGGAAGACGCATTATACCATTCAGAGCTAAGTGTTTATTTTAATAGATCAAAGTCTTAGAAGTACAGACCTTTGAGGATAATTACATTTTCAACAAACCACATGAATAGAGAAAAGGCACTGTAATTCAGCTTCTCAGCTAACTTCATAAAAATATGCAAACACACCCCCAGTCTCCCTAGGGACTTATACCAGCTCTGCATATTCTGAATCCTGGCAGTGATAGTCGCTGATATGAGCCAGTTCACTGTGGGATTGCATATGTGTATATTTGTGCTGTCATATGTTATATTCTTCAATAAGTAGTGGCTGTTATTATTGGTTTATCTAGTGAAATAAAAATGTATATATATGTAACTTGTATGCATAAAAATAGTTGGTATGGAGAGTTTATTAAAATAGTTGGTATGGAGGTAAAAAACAACCCATTAGCTTTTGTGCCTATGACTGTATGTTGCAATATAGAAAATTAGCACAGGTCCAAATATCCTCTCATTATTATACAGACCCAGGAGCCAAAATAACAGCCTCCTAAAAATGTATGGGTACACACACACACACATCTCAACACACTCGTTCACTTTGCTAGCTAACTAGTCTTTGCTTATTACTGCATTTGGTATTGTGGGTTGGGGAACAAATTTTTAGTGGAAGAACTTTCCAAAAAGTCAATATTAGTGTCTTTCTACTATGGATGGCATTTTCCTCACTTAGAAGGATTTGCCTAGATTTTCATATCTAAACATGTGAAAAAAATCAAACATACTATAAGAACTGCACAAACCTGCTCTTAATATACCTAGAAGGAATATATACTTACTTCAGTATATAGAATGAAGAGAAGAAGGCAAAACAGGAAAAGTTTAAAATATTGAGGAAAACGTCTAAGAGCTATTTTATATTTGTGGTACTTATTTGAAAGGGGAAGGGTGTTCAGAAGTCCCTGCATATGGATAACAGGACCTTACTCTTAGCTTCTTTCTGATTGCCAGTCCAGATTGCCCCAGCCTTACCAAGCTGCACCAAGCAAAGGGTAATAGGCCTCACATTTGTCTATAAAAGAAGAGCCTCTTCACCCACCTGTCAAGACAAGTGGTCCTGGCCCATAGACAGAAGGTCCTGGGCCATTCCCAGGCCTTACTCCTGACCTTTTCTGCAGATAATTTTTAAATGGGTAGATGGGTAGATGAATGAGTGGATAGGTGGATCAGTCGATAGATGAATATAGCTCAATAAACTTGAATACGTAGCTTAGACAGGACCCCTATGTCTCAAAATAACATTTACCCTTCTGACATCACTAGATCTTTTAACATGTAAGAATCTTAACTTGGAGTTATTGTTTTTCTAATAGTATTTTAATCACTATTCATACAAGTCATAAACAATTGTCTAAAAAATCAGACAATACACACATTATTAGGTAATTAGATTATTTTCAATTTTTGTCATAATCTGTAATGTCATGACAAACATTGCTTTGGTGAAATATTTGTATCTATCTTACATTATTTTCTTAGGGTAAAATCCTAGTACTAGAATGACTGGAATAACCTTAGAGTTTTGATGTAAGTCTTAAAAACATATTCTATAGGATCTTTATTTTGAGGCATCTTTAATCAAGATTTCAAGAAACATCTGAGTTTGAATCCCAGCTCTATCTATCACTTACTACTGCATGTCCTAAGCAAGTTACTTAAACTTCTTAAGTGTCAGTTTCTTCATCTATAAAATGGAATAATAACATAAGTGACTATAAGGTCACTATGAACATTAAATATGATTATGTATACAGAAATACTTAACATAGTACCTCAGTGAATGCTCATTATTATTTTTTTAAAAATACAAAAAACTGGGGAAAATCTACTTGGCAAGAATCTTATATCCCTGTGCATGTGGAGCTCAAGCCTGATATTTTTCTGCATATGCTCTTGATTCTAAAAAGAAGTGCAGTGAGTTAGGTAATTATTCTTCAGTTGAGAATGCAAAGAAAACTAGGATTAGATTAAACCATGATTGTAAATTGTGGAATATCATTAAGAAAATATTTCTACAGAGCCTCTTGAAACTTGTGTGCCATTCTTTTAAGTGGAATATAATATCAATATCAGTAATTGTATTGATGGTTATATTATTTACCTTATTGAAAATCCCCAAACCTTTTTTGTTTTTTTGTATTTCAGATTAACTACTGCAATGTGCAAGGAAGTGACCTCCTTATCAAAGAAGTTTATGAATTCTTTAACCACTGTTGGGGTAAGATTATAATATTGATTCTTTTTTCACCTTTTTAAGGGAGATGGGTCTATGGGGAGCTGTGATGAAAAGAAGAGGATGCAGTGCCTTCTTTGATAGCTCCACAAAGAGAAGCTTTTGCCTGGATGTTTACTGAAGTCCGGCCAAGAGCACCTTATCTAACAATTAGCAGTTTAGGGCTCCCATATAACTGGGTTCTAGCCCTAACACTCCATCCCAGACATGTGAGATGTTGGGTGCGTTTTCGAAACTTAGTGTGATCAGGGAAGACAGGAGAAAATTTTCCTTTTTAACCTTTCTACGTTTTCTTTTAAAGCCCAGGATTCAAGGGTAGATGAGTTTTTCCATGAGAAAAATCACGTTTTACGTCCTGTTTTAGTTAGGGTGTTTTTTGTTGCAAATGTATTAGTTTCCAAGGGCTGCTATGACAAGTACCACAAATTGGGTGGTTTAAGCAATAGAAATTTATCTTCTCACAGTTTTGGAGGCTGGAAATCTAAAATCAAGATGTCAGCACTGTCTTGCTCCCCTCATGCAGCCTGTAGGGCAGGCTCCTTCCTTGCCTCTTCCAGCAGCTGGTAGCCCCAGGCATTCTTTGGCTTAGGGCAGCATAACTGCAGTCTCTTGCTCCATCTTCACCTCATCTTCTCTCTGTGCATTTCTGTGTCCAAATTTCCCTCTTCTAAGGACATCACTTATATTGGGTTAAGGTATACCAGTATGACCTCATCTGAACTAATTACATCTGCAAGAAACCTATCTCCAAATAAGTTCACATCTTGAGGTACTGGAGGTTAAGACTTCAATTTGTCTTTTTTGGGGGCACACAGTTCAACCCGTAATAGTGCAGTGAGTTAGGTAATTATTCTTCAGTTGAGAATGCAAAGAAAACTAGGATTAGATTAAACCATGATTGTAAATTGTGGAATATCATTAAGAAAATATTTCTACAGAGCCTCTTGAAACTTGTGTGCCATTCTTTTAAGTGGAATATAATATCAATATCAGTAATTGTCTTGATGGTTATATTATTTACCTTATTGAAAATCCCCAAACCTTTTTTGTTTTTTTGTATTTCAGATTAACTACTGCAATGTGCAAGGAAGTGACCTCCTTATCAAAGAAGTTTATGAATTCTTTAACCACTGTTGGGGTAAGATTATAATATTGATTCTTTTTTCACCTTTTTAAGGGAGATGGGTCTATGGGGAGCTGTGATGAAAAGAAGAGGATGCAGTGCCTTCTTTGATAGCTCCACAAAGAGAAGCTTTTGCCTGGATGTTTACTGAAGTCCGGCCAAGAGCACCTTATCTAACAATTAGCAGTTTAGGGCTCCCATATAACTGGGTTCTAGCCCTAACACTCCATCCCAGACATGTGAGATGTTGGGTGCGTTTTCGAAACTTAGTGTGATCAGGGAAGACAGGAGAAAATTTTCCTTTTTAACCTTTCTACGTTTTCTTTTAAAGCCCAGGATTCAAGGGTAGATGAGTTTTTCCATGAGAAAAAGCACGTTTTACGTCCTGTTTTAGTTAGGGTGTTTTTTGTTGCAAATGTATTAGTTTCCAAGGGCTGCTATGACAAGTACCACAAATTGGGTGGTTTAAGCAATAGAAATTTATCTTCTCACAGTTTTGGAGGCTGGAAATCTAAAATCAAGATGTCAGCACTGTCTTGCTCCCCTCATGCAGCCTGTAGGGCAGGCTCCTTCCTTGCCTCTTCCAGCAGCTGGTAGCCCCAGGCATTCTTTGGCTTAGGGCAGCATAACTGCAGTCTCTTGCTCCATCTTCACCTCATCTTCTCTCTGTGCATTTCTGTGTCCAAATTTCCCTCTTCTAAGGACATCACTTATATTGGGTTAAGGTATACCAGTATGACCTCATCTGAACTAATTACATCTGCAAGAAACCTATCTCCAAATAAGTTCACATCTTGAGGTACTGGAGGTTAAGACTTCAATTTGTCTTTTTTGGGGGCACACAGTTCAACCCGTAACAGAAAGTAACAAAAACAAGTTCTAAATATTTAGACAGAAAAAGGACTTCATTAAAGGTAGTGGAGTGTGAACAGCTGTGGGGACCCAGCACCAGAGCTCATGTATCTTCTCTCTAAAGTGTTGCTATTAATGTGACTCAGTTACAGCAGTTCCCAGACCCTGTGTCTCTCCATTCAAATTCCAGGTTCCTGGGTGAGAAGGTTTGAAAGGCTCATCAGTGTGGGTCAGATGTCCATCTTGGTATCACCAGTTATAACTGGGGGCAGGGTCATATCATGTAGATCAGCTGACTGTTGGAGTGCACTCCCTACCCCCTGAGGCCAAGAGAATCTCTCAAAAGAAGTGGAAATGATTCTGGACCTAAGTGTCAGGAGATGTGTGTCTCCCATACTCCTGTAAATGACTCACTTAATTAGGGATGAACTATACTACCTAATCATTCTGTTGTCAAGGAATCTGGTTTGCGTCTCTTATTTAGTAAATATCATCTTTTATAGTTGTGTAATTTCAGGCCCTCAGAATTAAGATCCTCACTGAATGCAGGCAGAATGAAAGGGGAGGTAGAAATGCATTGGCATGGTAGGCTCTATGAAATGCATTTGTGTGCTCAGTGTTGTTTAAGTTAACTGGGGCCCATGGACAGCATAACTGCTAGGTTCACAGAGAGGTGCGAGGTCTTCATCAGCATGAGATTGCCTAGGTGACTTGGCTTCCCAAGACCCTCTATGCCCTCTTCTCACTCTTTCCACAGTTCATTAGGTGGGAAACTGAGAGCCAGAGGGGTGGACTGATTCATCCAGGCTTTCTATTGATCTCTCAACTCCCAGGTGGCTACCATCAGACAGATAGCCAGCTGTCTGATTATCTATGGTTATCTTGTGAGGAGAATGTATATGTCTGCATGTGTGTATTATATGTCTTATATGATTCATGTTAAACATTAATTTACTTACATTAGTGGTTAATATTCATGGTATTTCTTGCTTTTCCTTTTAACATAATGTATTCTGGCACAGTATTTCTCAGACCTTAATGTGGAAGCAAGTCACCTAGAGAACTTGTTAACATGCAGGTTCTGATGCAGTAGAAGGATGGGGACTGAGATTCTACATTCTAACAAGCTCCCAAGTGATACCAATGTTCCTGATCCACAGTCTGCATTTTTAGCAGCAAGGCTGTGGCAGATGGGTGTGTACTAAAACTTATATATATATACACACTTACATATATTGCACACACATATATACAAATATTTGCATGCACAAAATCAGGAAGACACAAATGATCACTTTGGAGAAAGAGAAAGCTAAGCTAAACAGAGTTTATTGAAATGCCACATGACCACAACAATATACCTGATTTGAGGCTGTGATGAATCATTTCCATCATTATTGCTCCTGTTCTCTACAACCGCCATTACTCATAACTTGAAGTTAATGAGTGTATATTGCTCTCCAGACTCCATTTAAATTGCTTGCACATCTCATTGATTCTAAGAACCAATGTCATTTTATTGCCCTCATTTTTATTATATTTTAGAGGTTTATTGATAATCAAATAAACATGAAAGCAAATACCATAATGGATTTTCTGGTTACTTACTAAAATAACTGGCTTTTTGAAGACTTTTTTTCCCAAGACTCCATTATGGTTTCCCCAGTAAGACATTACTTTGCCCTCTACAGAGTAATGTCAGTGAAAGTAAGCTGCTCTGGGAAGATTTATTTCATTTTTATGCTTCTGTTTATCATAAAGTCTTCCAGGTACAGTAAGGGAAGCAGCCTATTAAGATTACCTCCTCTCTTTCCAACCCCTTTAATTACTGATTATCTAAGAACAGATAGAATTTTTTAAATAGAGAACACTGTTGATTGATAGAATCATGAGATTGCCTAGGTGACTTGGCTTCCCAAGACCCTCTATGCCCTCTTCTCACTCTTTCCACAGTTCATTAGGTGGGAAACTGAGAGCCAGAGGGGTGGACTGATTCATCCAGGCTTTCTATTGATCTCTCAACTCCCAGGTGGCTACCATCAGACAGATAGCCAGCTGTCTGATTATCTATGGTTATCTTGTGAGGAGAATGTATATGTCTGCATGTGTGTATTATATGTCTTATATGATTCATGTTAAACATTAATTTACTTACATTAGTGGTTAATATTCATGGTATTTCTTGCTTTTCCTTTTAACATAATGTATTCTGGCACAGTATTTCTCAGACCTTAATGTGGAAGCAAGTCACCTAGAGAACTTGTTAACATGCAGGTTCTGATGCAGTAGAAGGATGGGGACTGAGATTCTACATTCTAACAAGCTCCCAAGTGATACCAATGTTCCTGATCCACAGTCTGCATTTTTAGCAGCAAGGCTGTGGCAGATGGGTGTGTACTAAAACTTATATATATATACACACTTAGATATATTGCACACACATATATACAAATATTTGCATGCACAAAATCAGGAAGACACAAATGATCACTTTGGAGAAAGAGAAAGCTAAGCTAAACAGAGTTTATTGAAATGCCACATGACCACAACAATATACCTGATTTGAGGCTGTGATGAATCATTTCCATCATTATTGCTCCTGTTCTCTACAACCGCCATTACTCATAACTTGAAGTTAATGAGTGTATATTGCTCTCCAGACTCCATTTAAATTGCTTGCACATCTCATTGATTCTAAGAACCAATGTCATTTTATTGCCCTCATTTTTATTATATTTTAGAGGTTTATTGATAATCAAATAAACATGAAAGCAAATACCATAATGGATTTTCTGGTTACTTACTAAAATAACTGGCTTTTTGAAGACTTTTTTTCCCAAGACTCCATTATGGTTTCCCCAGTAAGACATTACTTTGCCCTCTACAGAGTAATGTCAGTGAAAGTAAGCTGCTCTGGGAAGATTTATTTCATTTTTATGCTTCTGTTTATCATAAAGTCTTCCAGGTACAGTAAGGGAAGCAGCCTATTAAGATTACCTCCTCTCTTTCCAACCCCTTTAATTACTGATTATCTAAGAACAGATAGAATTTTTTAAATAGAGAACACTGTTGATTGATAGAACAATAGTAGAAATAATAATGATGACGATACCAACACTAGCTCCTACTTTTGAATACCTATTTTATATCAGGCTCTGTATTCTGTGCTTATTCATGATTTGCAAAGTAGGATCTGAAGACCTAGTGCATGCTATATTTAAGAATGTTTTAATTTTGAATGTCATATATAAGAATGCTTTTAATTTTGCTGCTAATTTGGAAGACACACCCTGTAACCAAGTACCCATGTTTCCATTTAAAAGGACAAGAAAAAAAAAAAAAGGACTATGGACCAGGGCTGGATTAGGATAAGCCACTATGGTACTCAACACCGCTGCAGAATCTAAGGGGGGCCCCCTCAAAAAAGACAAAGAAACAACTTTAGTCATCTAGATATTTTAATGCAATATTTTAAAAAATCAAAATGAATGCAAAAAAAGTCATAATGAACAAAATACCTATATTTTAAGTGAAGTCAGGATCTGACCCTGTACTTGCACAGCTCAGCCTCACTCATCTCACCCGAGTCCCAGATCCGCTACAAGCTGCAGATAGTTAAAAAGGTCTGAGTTTCAGTTTCTAGCTGTGTGACTTAAACAAGTTAATCTCCCTGATTCCTATTTTCTCATCTTTAAATTAGGGTTGTCATGGTACCTGTTAGGATTTCTACAAAATTAAATGAGATCATATAGAGGAAGCACCAAATATGAAGCCTGGTCTATAATAAGCCCTCGACATTTCCTCCCCTTCCTCTCTTAAAAGGTCCCTCAGCAAAGCCAGCATGTAACAACTCTTAGTATGAGCACCTAATCTATCAATTTCATCCTTTTAATTCTGCAGAGCAACAAGAAGGCTGAAGTCCTTAACCCTATGATCAGTAGTGTATTGTTAGAGGTAAGTGGCCCCAGGAAGAAAGTGCTTTTGGATCAAAGCAAACTAAAGCTACATTTGGTTGTCTTTCTCCAGGCAGCAAGTGTTATTGCAATTCTAAATTTTATCATCGACAGTCTTTTGAGTACATTTGTGTAGTTCCACTAGCTGTAAACCCTCGGGTGAAGCAACAATACTTAATTTTCAAGAATTCATGGTTATAAAGAGAAACACTAAGCTTGCACGTTATTCCTGTTGCTGTTTTCTCTGGCAGAAGCTTATTTCTGCTGTCAATTTTGACACCAGATATAACACCATGATTATTGGCTGCAATGAGGATTCTTGCTCCATGGTGATTTTTGTAAAAATGGGCACTTGCCTGCATTCACAATAAGTTTCACTTTAGCTGGGTCTAAGTTCCAAACAGGCAGAAATGACAAGTAGACTGTCTAGCTTCTGCCCTTTCAGTGACCAGAAGCACTACCCTCTGTGGCTGCTCACTCTGTGGGGTGCCCACTCACAAAGACTTTGTGACATGGACTTGAAGCTTCCCCAACAGCCCTGTGCCTTTGCCAGAAACAGTGATATAAAAGAGAAGAAAAGAGGCCCAGGGGGCCTCATTCTTGACTCATAAGCTGTGGCTAGTGGAGAAAACCCTTCGCATTAAAAGCTGAAGGGTAAGGAACTGGCACATCTGTACCTCCAAGTCACCTGGATGAAGCCTCAAGGTGTTAAGAACCTGAGTTGGAACATGGGTAGTACATATGTTTTTGCTGTCTGAAGAAGCTGTCGATTGCAAAATTTGGAAGTTACCAAATGCCAAGTCAGGGAGGGCTACCTACATATTTGTAGCAGTGTTTTTAAGAATTATACCTTACTGTTAAGGAAAACTACCAAGATACAAAATTAACAAAGTGTTGGCACCAAGTATTATTGTTTAGGACACAGCCACACTGTGGGGTGCAGTTTCCTAGAAAGGGACAAGGAGCTGTAGGGGCAAGTTCTGGAGACACAGACACAGCTAAGAGGACACTCCGGCAGATAGAGGCAGAATATGGAACAAGAAAATCTCTCCTTGGTCACCCAAAAGGCATTAACAGACTCATTTACCATGTCAGGTCATGAAGAATATTAGATCAAATGTTTATTCACTCCCCCAGCAGAAGTTTTCTCATGTTTTAGTTATCTGAAATTTTAAAAGGCCTTTCTGTGTAATACTGTATATTAGAATAGCACATCAAATACCCAAAACAAGTAGAAGGTACCAACATGCATTGGAGGATGCAGGGTTCCAGGATTTGCTGTGAATAACTGCACAATAATGTCTCTGGTTAGCTTTATGTACACCGTTCTTGTTTATTATCTGTAGGTTAGGACACATTGGAGTCTCCTTCATAGGAAGTAGAGTTGGTCTGGAAAGAGGATTGGTAAGACTGGATATATCAGGTCATGAATATACACATACTGATGTACCCTCAAAGTCTATGGAAACGTCTTGTCTCATTTTGAGTGAATTCTTCTCTGTTAGTATAGTAATGAAGAGCTAGGTGCATTCCATCCAAAGGGAATGTGTTTACATTTGCTTTAAGCATCAACATTACAAGAAAAATATTATAAAATATTATGAGATTTGACGAGAGGGAGCATTATCAAATTGGAAAAATTGTCAAGCTTAAACTGTGAAAATAACCCTTCCACCACGTCCTTCTCCTCCCACAGGGTTGCAATAGCACGACATACATTCAGGATGCCTTCCAGCTGCTGCTGCCCATTCTGCAAGTGTCACACATCCAGACCAGCTGTTCAAAAGCAGAGCCGTGACCTGGCCAGACTCCATCTAGTTAAAAGGAACCGCAGGCCACATTGCTTTGATAAATATCATTTAAGGGGATGCTTTCTATGCATCTGGCCACAGATGCCTATTTAAGAACACTACATGCAGTTTTGCACAGACAGTACTGAGAATGCAGGTTGAAAGAGAGTATCATTTCTCTTAATGTATATGGTTGTTTTTACAAATAATTGTGTTTTCTTTAGGTTAATTTAAAGTTTCACAGCTTTATATTGATCATTTCCTTTAATCTGAAATTCATTCACAAATTTTCATTTCCATTTTCCAGGCCAAGCATGATGCTGTAGTTAGAAATTCATGGGCAGATCCTAGACTTTTCTGTAATCCCTTAAATCTCCCATTCTTATAGTACTACTTTAAGTCAGTTTTTGATTTATAATGAATGAAGTTTTGTTTCATAAATATCATGGAAAAACATAACATTCTTGTTGATATTGCCTATTATGGTAAAAGAGGAACATAAGTATCTCTTTATAGCCATTCATTCTCAAAATAAGCATTTATTGAGTTTCTACTGTGTGCTCACAAGAGAGGAACATGATCTCACCCCATTAGAGACAAATATTCTGAAAAAGAATTTATAATAATTCTTAAAATACTTACAAATACTAATAAATCTTCTAACTCTTAAAAAATTTGAAGAGCAAGATAAATTCATGCTTTTTAATGTTCTGCCCTTCAGTTTATCGTATTTTTCCACCCTCCTTGAATTTTCCTATCTCAAACTTTATATATGAGGTAAAAATATATGGGGTACTAAAGAGGATATGGTTTAAAATTGAGTTCTTATAGCCCTAAGTATATGGTAACAAAAATTACAAAGCTTAGAAGCATTCTAATAGAAAATTAAAGGGGTTTCAACACAGTAGACCCCTCTGTCTGTATTTTTTAGTCTACTACAGTTGAATCAAGCTGGTCCCTAAATACACAGATCACACTCACCTGTGACAAATACCATCATTGCTTCTAAGGGCGGGAAACACTGACATGTAGGTTGGCTCACTGGTATATTGATCCCTGAGAGGCCGCCAGACCCTGCAACCAGAGACGCACTGTCAACAGGCAGTTCTCCTGAGCTCCACGAGTTCATTCCAGGTGGGCATTCTGTTTAATGCTCCTAGTTCAGAGCCCACTGACATCCTTACAGGCACTGTCACAAGATGTCACTTACCCAGTGGCTTTCTCCAGGGCAAATGGAGCCTGTACTTTTGCAAAGTGAAAATCCCTCATTCACACATTTGCTTTTATTCCCCTGATAGAATAGAATGTCTTTGTTCCATACAGGCAAAATAGGGATATGTCAGTACCATCCTACATCTTATTAGCATTTCATTTGACTATGGCCTGTGTTTCATTTGTGTGTCTCCTAAAACAGCTGAATAGAAAACAAAAGAACAATTTATTTACAATCTGGAAAAAAATTATCTGAAGAGTCAATTAAAGTGGGTTTTTTTTCTACTTGCTTTTTGATTGCCTGAAATATTTCTATTAAATCTAGAGGATGATGGATGAAAATGTTGCATTTATCTCTTCATAAATTTTAAGATTTTTTTATGTGTAGAGCAGAGGAAAGGACTTAGACTTACAATTTCTTCACATCAGACTTTTTAGCACCAGACTTATAAATGTTAAAGGCAAATGGAAAAGAAACAAATAGTTTCAAGGGAGCTAGAATTAAACTATGCCCAACTGCAACCATTCAGCACATAGCAAAAGGTTTTTTTGTTTTTTTTTTTAATTGAAGTATCATTGATATGGAATCTTGTATTGGTTTCAAATGTACAACACAGTGGTTCAACAGTTACCCATACTACTAAATCCTCACCCCCTCTAGTGTGGTTCTATCAACATAGAAAGGTGTTACAGAATCAATGACTATATTCTCCCTGCTGTACTGTTGTCCCTGTGACCAACTGATATTGTGATTGTGCATTATAGTGATAGCAAGAGTTTTAATCATAAAATGAAATAGAAATCTGTAAAAGAATACAAGAGATAATTATTCTTTACAAAGTAGCTGACTTATTTACATTGCATTTACATACCTTTCAATAAATGTCAAAGGTTGCCAGGTGGAAACAGGCAGAAAGATAATTCCTGGGGCCTAGCTCCATAGTTTGTGACTTACATTATTTAAGATAGAATAATCACTTAAAATATATCCACTCCCCATAACCCCTCCAGGATTGCTCTCTTTCAATGCTGTTTTTCACCATCACATTAAAATGATGCTTTGCTTTACTTTAAAACCTGGCAAAGTATGGGATCCAGATTTGGACAAGTGTCAATCAGTTACTGAATGAATGATTTAGCAGGCTTACTTTGGAAATGTTGATATTCATTCAATAATTCTTTACATAAATTGGGTTCATTTCACTCTATGCATTACCCTGAACAAGTGTGCCAGTTTTTTTTCTTACTTCAAGTGCAAAATAAGTTCTAGTCTAAATAATGAATGTAGTCCTAGGTCTGTGTCTTATTAAATAGAAAGCATCAAAAGCATATTTCAAAGTCAAAGCAAATGCATTCAAGAAAAATTGCTTTGGGGTATTGATACATATGGCTCTAAAGGGCAAAACTGAGTCCCAAATCTTAAAGCGGAGGCCTAAGCTTCTATCCTACTGAGAATGGAAGGCTCTCTTTTCTCTGGGTCTCACACTGAGCTGCACATCAAGCTCATGAATAAATGAGTGGGGTGACTGGCTGAGGCAGTGGCAGGAGTGAGCTGGGACATGCAGCAGCCTCAGCAACACCAGCTAAGGAACCATGCGCCTCAGCTGCACAGCCCACAGAGATAAAAGAAACCCCGCCTTGGGCAGGCTAAAGGAAAGGGTAAATGTAAGGTGGAGGTCTGACTCTAGAGACAAGAGTTTTTCCTTTGCTTTGTAGAAATCAGCTGCCCTAAGGTGCTTGAATATCTGGGAAGTCACCTATCTTCTCCACAGGCTGGCCATGCTGAGATTAAGTTAGAAACAAAAGCAGGCAGATTCCAAATACAGCCATCCCAGGGATCTAGGATATAACCTCATAGGGAAGTAATTTAGCAAAAATGTGAAATGACATTTCTCTTCCATCCAAAAAAAAAAAAGTGTGTGTGTGTGTATACATATACATGCACTGAACATATGGGGTGGATCATAATACAGGATTTCAATCCAGACTCAACTTCATGAGAGCAAGTATTCCTCAAGGTCAAACTAATTTTTGTACTGCAAAAATTACCCTTCAGTCTCCCTCTTAAGCATGCCCTATATTCTGATACTCACATTCAGGTTCAACTTGGTTTCTTAAATTACTGTGTTTGGAATGGCTCATCAGAAGAGATATTGAAAATCCATCTTGGAACTGTAATTTTGCCTTGGTGTTGTAGTTGATTAGAATTCAAAAAGCCCTGGGAGCGAATTCTGACCAGCCAGTCTTCACATAAAAGAAAAAATCATGTGGTTAGCCATTTGTTTTGTTTTTCTAGCTCTCATAATTTATTTAGTTTTGTGTTCATTTTCTATATGTTCACCTGTAAGAGATGCTTCATTACAATATCTGCTATTAAACAAACCTGAGGAAAGACACCGTTGCAGTTTTTTTGTTTGTTTGCTTTTGTTTTGCTTGGTCCTGAAAATAATCTGAGTTATTCTATCCTTGGAGCATTTTACCTTTGGTGATGATTACATTATCACAACCCAACAGTAAAGAATTGTTTTGATTGTCTTCCTGCTATGTCTGATGCCAGGGTCATCAGAGACTGGAAATAGAAGCTGATTATGGAAGGCCAGGATTTTGTGTTGGGATTGGAGCTACATTTACCTTTGTCTGGATCAAAGAATATTTTTTTCTGCATGAGCTGTCAGCTAAGAAGCAATAGGATTATGTCCGCCTGTGGTCACTGCTGACTCACTTGACAGGCCTGTCTCTTCTATTAGTCTCAAAGGAATTCTATATTGCAAAAGAATAATATGTACGTTTTTCATATGCCTTCACTGAGTACAGAAGTTAGGGGGCTGCAGAGACGGTCTATCTCCCTGCCCTGGGTTTCACCCCCACGCTTCTAGAGCTGCCATTTGGAGGAAAAAGCAAGCGTAAAAGCCAAGGCCAGATGGATGGAACCTTGGCAAAAGGCAAAGCTAAGCCTCTGCCTTTGAGTCCCTGCCATCTTTACCCTTTTTCTCTCAGAATTATTATTATTATTTTTGACAGTCATTAAATACCTCTCTCTCAGCATCAGCTTTTAAAGTTCTGCCTTTCTTTTACAAATCTCTTCTCCCATTTCTCTACACTTAATACTATCCCTTCCCCATTTATCCCACCAGAAAACAATGCATCCAGAAGATCTCAATAACAGTAATTCATAAGTATTTACTATGAGCTTGGGCTCGATGCTGAGTGTCTCATATGCATCATCCCAGTTAATCTCCGTAACTACCCTATTGGGTGGATAGTATTCCCAAAGGGGAACACTGAGACCAAAGAAACTGCATAACTCACCCCATGTTACCCAACTAGTAACACAGCTAGGATTCAAACCCAGGTCAGTCTGGCCTGCTTAGCTAGCATTTTAAACCATCATCCACAGCCTCCCCTAAAAGAGAAACCTAACGTTATTTTTAGAGACATCTGAACACTTAGATGTTTAGCTCTCTTTATCCACGAGAGGTGGTTTTGTAGCTGAAAACTGTCGTTGTCAGCTTCGTAGCTGAAAGCTGTGGTCGTCAGCTTCGTCAGCTTCCATTGTTTCCATGCAACAGAGAACAAACTGGAACTAAAGAGACGCAATGAAGCCAAGTGCAGTTTTAGGCCCCCAGACTGTTCTCCCCACAGGCCTCTTCACCGCTTCACAGACGTTTACATCAAGCAGCTTCCTGGCCGTCATCAACACAGCGCTTCTGTCTCACAGGTACCCTTGATATTCCTCAAATGGTTCCATTTCCTCCTCCCCCTCTCCCTTCTCTGGTGCCAGGGAAGCCCATTTGTAAACCACCCTTCCCGAAAATCCTTAACCCTCTTCCACCTGCCTGGAGCATTGGGGTTTTAATGCTTTCCTTGACTTGAAGATTAACAGCTTGCCTAGGCAGCCTTTCAGGTGAACCTTCAGGTTCTATGAGATACTGATAAACCTTTTAAAGATGTACTAAATAATTCCTTCTTGTCCCTGATCTAGGTGCTGTTGTCTAGTAAGCCCAAGAAATAATGGTGACCCTGATGGTGGTGGTAGTGGTGGTCACGGTGACTGTGATGATGGGGATGGTGGCATCCTTATTTATTGAGTTCCAGACACTTTACCTCCATCATCTCATTTAATCCCCAACATCGACCTTATGAGGCAGCTACTATTATCATACCCATTTTACAGATGAAAAGTGAAGCTCGGAGAAATTAAAATAATCTGTTTAGAGTTATCCAACTAATAATTGGAAGAGCAAGGTTTTATATCTAGGTAGGTATAAAATGCTACACAGAGCCCACAGACAGCAGATATGTGGTCATACAAAGCAAAAGTTGTGCATTTTCCCTTGGGTTGAGTTCTCTTCCAGCTAATACCTGAGCTCTTCTTTATCCTGTGGCCTCAGGCAGAGACAAATTGTTCCATAAATCTCCCTGTCAGAGAGAAAGGGCTAACTAAGTTTTTCCTGCCGATGCCTCTGATCCAAGAGAAAGTGGATAGCTTATGTGTTCCATTCTCCCTCATGTTATGAACTTCACATTGATTGATCCATTTCTCACTGAAAACTATGGTTGCCTTTTGACATTTCTGCAGGAAAGCTCTAGTCTGCTATCTTTGGGAGAAAATATACTGCTAGAAAAATGTGATAAGGGACAAGAAACCAAATGATGAACTGCAGGGCAGAAAGGCTCCAGCCACTTCCGTCAGAAAGAATTGTTGGATCCAAGAGGGCATCTTAGGAATGTGTAAGATACTTCTTCCAGAGAGCCTCACAGTCCCGCCCTCACTTTATTCAAAAGATACCTTCTCAGTGGGGTCTCTTCAAGTCTACTTGCAACACTCACTGTATTTTATACAGGCACTCCCCCTGCTATGCAAAAGAAGTAGAGCGCTCCTATGAAAACTTTGGTAAACCAAAATGGCATAAAACAAAAACATTAAAAAAAATCAGTAATTTATACAGAAAATTTTTTAGTATTCGCAGACCCCAGAATTAACCTCTGATAGGCTTTTCTGATACCTTAGGACACATCTTGCTAGTTAATGGATGCACAAAACACATCAGGGTAAAGCACAGATTTTCACAGACACAGGTCAAAGCTATGGTGGCCTGATGCTGAGTGTAGTTCTCGAGGAAGGAGCTTAGTGGGGTCACTCTCACTATCGAGGTATGTGCTGCCTCTGTAAAGGCTCACTGCAAAACAAATGCTAAATGCTATTTTTGCTGTTCACCTTTTTTAAATAAAAGTGAAAATCCTCTTCAGATTTTTTCAGTTAGCAAGAACAGGTACTGAAATAGCTTTTTTGTAAAAGCAAAGTGATATAAAACAAACTTCCAAAAAGTGGGGGATATCTATATTCCCTTTCCCTGCTTTCTTTCTCCTTAAGATGTATCACTACCTAACATCCTCTCCGTCTTACTTACTTGTCTATTATCTGTCTCTTGCACTAGAATGTAAGCTCCAAAAAACAGGGATAGTTTTTGTTTGTTATGATATTCCCAGCACCCAAAGCAGTGCTTGGCATATAGTAGGTGCTGTTATTATTTGTTGAATGGACAAATACATCAAAATCTTAAGTGAACAATAGTAGCAATGGTATCCATTTGAATGGTATTAGGTGTTACAGTATGGGTAGGATTTGGGGGGCTTAGAAATGCATAAACATTTTTTCCATTAAAGTGAATGGAACTTATATTTTTTACTTAAAAGAATTCACTCTGAGGAATTTTTCAAGATTCTTCATCAGGCAGGAATAGACTATAGGGAAAAAATTAGAACCAACTAAATGAGTAACTGGTATTTCAATACTGTAGAATATTATACAACAGTTAAAAAGAATAAAGAGAAGCCTGTGTCGTAGCAATTTGGGTTGCTATAACAAACACGCCATAGACTAGGCTGCTTAAACAACAAACATTTATTTCTCCAGTTTTAGAGGCTGGAAAGTCCAAGAGTGATATGCCAGCAGATTCAGTATCTGGTGGAAACCAACTTTCTGTTTGCAAATGGCTTTTTGTTGCATCCTCACACAGCAGAGAGCAGAGAGAAGAAGCAAGCTTTCTTGTGTCTCTTCTTATAAGGGCACTAATCCCATTCATGAAGATTCCATCCTTATGACCTAATTACTCCCCAAAGGCTCCACCTCTAAATACTATCACATCTGGGATTCGGCCTCAACCTATGAATTTTGAGGGGACAGAAACATTCAGCCCATAACAGACTGGAATACATCTTTGTAGTAACAGAACTCCAAGATGCATCAATGAGTAAAAAAAAGAGTTACAGTATGGTACTTGTAATATATTTACATATAACATACACACACACATATACACATACTCCCCTAGAAGATCTAGAAAGATACAAAACTATCAACAATGCTTGTGATCGAGGTGAAAAGGGTTGCAATAGTGTCAGGGAGAATGTCAGAGTTTGCAATAGTAATCAGAGGGGACTCTAGTATTGTTTGTAGTGTTTAAATATTTGTATAATGCGAATGTATCAATGGATGGCTCACAAAATGAAATTTTTAAAAATCAAAACAAGAAGCAAAATAAAAGTGCTTCTGGTCAGAAAGATAAGAGAGGATAGGGCCCTGCCAAAGACTTAAGTAAAATACACAGATTATTTTTCAATAGAAGGGCCAGAAATATGAGTGAGAGCATCTCAATAGTTGGGATATCTTCATCACCAATGTTCATATACAGTTCTAACACAATTTTGATGACTGTACACATCTCTCCTTGCTTTCCTCAGAAAGCTAAACCAAGTATTCCAAATACATAGTTTATGAAGACTGTGATCATGTAAACAGAAAAATTTGTCATTTCCATCTCATTGAAAAAAGACGCCAACTTCCTTAGCCAGATAGCCTTTCTAATCTTCCTGCTAAACCTGAACAGCTCTGGGACATGTAATGACTACAGAAGTAATTTCAGAAACTTCTGGAGAAAAACACCACGCCAATGAATGTGTCTGTGGTTCAGAGTTATTAGCTTGATGCCCAAATGCATATCATATTTGCAAGAGGCAATTTACAATCTGCTCGTCTTGACAAATGTAGCACAGGGGATTTAAATCCCTGCATTTGCAATTTCTGTCTCTCCTTCTCCAAATTTATGGCGAAATTGTAGACACAAATAACGTGTCAGGGTTGAATGAATTGAGGTCTCTGCTCTGCTTCCGCAGTTCCATTTCACTCAAAGGAGAGTAATAAATGGAAAGCAAAGTCTCAGCAGATAATGAATCTGAGTCCTGATGACCTTCCTGAACTATAAATTGGATTTGTAATTTCCTTGGCATTGCCCAAATCATTTGGTGCCTATAGAGAGGTATGAACACATTTTGACCATTTTGGTCACAACTGTGCATTTTAAGCATATCTTCAATGATTCATGAAGGGTCAG